TTGAAATTATTTGAATTTATTAATCAGGTGTCATGCCCTGGTACGTTATTCCATTTATTCTCATTTTGAACCATTCAGGTTGATTGGAGACCATCTGCAGATGTTAACGATATTAATCAGGTTAGACGCCATATTGAATTTAACACAGATGAAAACAAGGCTGTAATGGATAGACTTACAGTCTTTACACTGGCATGCTCTGTGTAAATTCTAGATCATGTAATTTCCACAACTCATTACTTTCAAGACTGTTTTTTGAAGTTTTTGTCTACTGAATTATTTTTAGAAAGATGTTTCTTTAGATGAACAATCAATATGTTGTTAAACAACAGTACAGCCCACTAAAGACACTGTACTTCTATCCCTAAAAGCCTGGTTTTTATTCCTGTAAAAAAAAAAAAAAAGGTATTATGGTGCTCACGAAGGTATACAGGCACGCGTTTTTCCATTGACTGGAGTTTTTCAGCCAATCACAGACCTATGGATGCACTCACATGACTAATTTGGTGCCACTCCCACACATTCATGCCATTCTACAGGTAGAGCCCGGCGCTAGCAACACCAAGGTCACGGGTTTGAATCCCAAAGAATACATGAACTTACAAAGTGTACATCTTGAATGCAATAGTAGTTTTGAATAAAAGTGTTTGCCAAATGCATAAATGTACAGGACCTCAGTGAGAACACAACTCATAAGAAGGCAATGCTGCCTGCCTTTGAATTTTTATCTACTGATGTTGCTCTTGGACAGTGTAAGTTTAGAAAAATGTGTGTGTGTGTGTGTGTGTATATATATATATATATATATTTTTTTTTTTTTTTGTACTGTTATACATGTATATATGTATACCCTGTATATACTGTTATACTTTGGTGCTATACTTTTCTCAACAAATTTTTTTTTGCGGAAACAGAGGCCCTCGGACCCTTTATTTTAGACAGATCCTGAAAGATAGCTATGTCTCTGTAGTGTCTTTTGTTTTTATTGCTGGTATTAGCGTTAATGAAAGTATGATAATAAATGTGTGCTGCAGAGGATGCGCTAGCAGCACCTCTAGTCCATCAGTAAAGCATGCACACTTTGAGTGATGACTTTCCTACAGGAACCAACAGCTGTATGTGCAAATCATGCATATAAATCAATTACCAGAGCCTATGTACTTTAAATGCACCCATTAATTAAGCAATGTCAGATACAATGGAGCGTGAAGTTCATTACATTTTTAGCATTCACGCACAGGATTATTTGAAGAGAAGACGGTTTTACCTAATGATCAGCGCCACAAAGACACGTTGCTGCCAGAGAGAGAGAGCGGTTTGAAGGGACAAGTAAAACAGCAGTAGGACAGGAATTGAGTTTTTTTTTTTTTTTTTTGTGAAAAGCCTGCGAGGGATGGATGCACCTCCATCAGGTTTATTCTGATGCACTGGTGCATTTGCTCTTACTTGAGCTCTCTATGTGTATGTGTGTGTGTGTGTGTGTGTGTGTGTGTGTATGTTGTGGGTCTCTGGCTTCACTATTCCACACTGCAATTCCGTTTTAATGGCAGGAAAGTAGTTGTAAGAGAGTGGCCTACATTAGGCATTGACCTCTGCTTAATGAATACGAGAGAACGTTCCTCATCACTACAAGTTCCATGTTGTGACAAGATTTGCATATTCATTTTTTTTTGTTTTCCTCTCCTTGCAAACATTTTTTCTTTCTCAGTGAACAGGACATCTGCCTCTGCCACTCCAGAAATAAATAAATAAAACAGGAAATAAATGAGCAAAATCCACATGATATATCCAGATGCTCAGAGTGTGATGTGACTCAAGTGTTTAGCATTTCCTGTTTGTGCAGCAGACCTCCCTGAGTGCAAGATACAGCTACTTTACCGGACAAACATTGTGTTATTTTATTGATATGAGAAAAGTATCTCTTAAGAATGCTTGTCTACACACTTCTATAAATCCTTTTACACTTGTTTTAATGCTCTTAAGCTGACATATCTTAAAGAGAAAGTGTAAAGAGTTCCTAAAGTCAAATCTCTCTTTTTTTAAATCCTTTGTGTAGTTTAATTCGATTGAGCAGAGCCAGCCTCCAGAATGGCCTCTGTCATACACACTGAGCCCATCACTGTCTCTCTATATTCAATACCAGCAGGGCTACTTAAATGTGAAATTATACAAAGTGTTTTCTTTTCATGTTTCTCTCTAACTAGCAGCAGGACTGTGTAGATACTTCAAAAAGTTGCAGTTCCCATATCATAGTTTGACTTTTCTTTTCACTGAAATCAGCAAATACACAGCAGAGTGAACCCGCTGGCATCTTTCACAAAAATAACTGCTGCTAGAGATCCATTTGAATTTTAAATCAATGTGAAATAGGAAATATACCAGCACCTCAAATATTTGATTGCTAATGACAAATACTATCTAGCTTCACCTTCAATGAACAGCTGAATATGGGCGAAGTTCAGTTTCAAGTGCTCAATACAATAAAACACAAATACAACCTACTAAACTTTTTTTTTTTTTCATCATAATAGAAGTGGTCAGTAATATTTTTCGAATGTAAGATTCTTATGTATTCATCATGTCTGTATTTCTTTGATCAAAAATGCAGTCACAAATGACATTGTAATTCTTTCATTCATTAATTCCTGTGATGCCAGATTATAAGAATATACTGAGAATATGCTGATTTGGAAACGTCTCGGTTACGTATGGTAACCCTCGTTCCCTGAAGGAGGGAACGGAGACGTCACGTCGTGACCGACGAATTGGGATATCGCTTCGATAGACCAATCTACTTCGAGTTTAAACTAAACGAGCCAATGCACATTGGCATGCAATTATTGCATCCAGCTGCTGCTGATCACAGCGTGAGTATAAGTAGGCAGCAGATGCAGCGCATATTCAGGTTTTCGCTGAGGAGCCGAGCCGGCGACCCGGCCGCTCAGCGGTGGTACAGCAACCGTGGCGACGGGACGTGACATCTCCGTTCCCTCCTTCAGGGAACGAGGGTTACATACGTAACCTTCCGAGAGTGTGCTGAACTCGTAGTTCTCGAAATAAACATAGAGCAGAACGATGTTGTTGCTCGGCTCCGAAGCGAAAAGCTGGTATGCATTGCACCTGCTGCCTTATTATACTCACGCTGTGATCAGCGGCAGCTGGATGCAATAATTGCATGCCAATGTGCATTGGCTCGTTTAGTTTACACTCGAAGTAGATTGGTCTATCGAAGCGATATCCCAATTCGTCGGTCACGACGTGACTCGTAGTGACCGACTGAAAGGGAACTATTATTATTATACACAGTTGTGTATAATTGTATAATTGTTGTGCTTAATGTAGTATGCGATCCATACTACATGTTTTTGTTTTTATTAAGACTACCGATGTAATATATTAAGTTTGATTAATTATTATAGTTATAAAACATAATGACCACTTGAATAGCAACTAAACTACATGCCTTGAGTACATTTGTATATTTAGTAAGTATATTATATTTGTATATCTATAAATGTAATTCTATTCTAAACAGTCTTGTGGTATGACATTTTTGAAAATAAAAATAATTCCATGTAGTAA